TATATATATTGTTAGTAAGGATCAAGTCAAGAGTATTTTCGGAGATTCCTCGCAAGTACTAGGTTGGTTGAAAAGTTCGCGGAGCGGCACCTATGTTGCAGTAGTAGAAACAAATTTATAACTGTATTAAACGTATTCATTCTTCGTATGAACGCATAAAAAATTTCAAGTCGATATGTCATTTCAGTCTTTGTTTACAAGCTATTGAAATTAGACGTGTCATAGTATTTTTTAAAATGGAAAATATTGAACATCGTGCTATAATAAAATTCTTTGTGAAAAAAGGTTTAAAGCCCATGGAAATTCATAATGAAATGGTAAATGTGTTGGGTGATGATGCTCCTTCAAAAACAACAGTATGCAAATGGGCTGCGGAGTTTCAACGTGGGCGTTCAAGCCTTGAAGATGACCCTCGCTCTGGACGTCCAAAAAGTGCTACTACTGAAGAAACGATTAATGCTGTGCATGACATGGTTATGGATGATAGACGATTGACCAAACGTGAAATTGCTGAGGCTGTGGGCATCTCAGATGAACGGGTATTACACATCTTGCACGATGAATTACGTCTGAGAAAGCTGTTGGCAAGATGGGTGCCGCATTCGCTAACTCTGGATCAGAAACGCACTCGAGTAAAACTTTCTCAAGAACATTTGGCCCGTTTTCAAAAGAATAAAACAGATTTTGTGCGTCGATTCGTAACCATGGATGAGACTTGGGTTTACCACTATGATCCGAAGCTGCGACAACAAACTGCAGAGTGGACAGAACCCGGTTGTTCAGCTCCGAAGCAAGTGAAGGCGTCAAAATCGTCAAAGAAGGTTATGGCATCAGTTTTTTGGGATGCGAAAGGAATTTTATTAATAGATTACCTTCAAACCGGTAAAACGATAACAGGTGAATATTATAAAAATCTTTTGGACCAGTTGGATAAAAAAATTCGTGAGAAAAGACCTGGTTTGCTGCATAAAAAAATCATTTATCACCAGGACAACGCACCTGCTCATATCAGCGATGTTGCAAAGGCGAAATTGGTCGAATTAAAGTACGAACGCTTGGAACATCCACCCTATTCACCAGATCTGGCTCCGTCCGACTTCCACCTCTTTCCACATCTCAAAAAATTTCTACGTGGAAAGCGTTTCTCATCACATGAAGAAGTCATTGCAGCCGTAAATGGGTATTTTGAAGGCCTTCCGGAATCGCACTTCAGAGATGGGATACATGAATTGGAGAATCGTTGGAAAAAGTGTATTGCTCTTAAGGGAGAATATACTGAAGAATAAAGTCATTTTTTGAATCATAAAATTGTTTTTTCATTTCCGCTCCGCGAACTTTTCAACCAACCTAGTAATGCGATATGTTGAAAAAGTTATTAGCTGGGTCAAATGATTTTCTTTAAGACAGTCTTGAAATTTGCTATCTGTTGGCCAATCGTTTTGTACGTATGCAACAGTCGCGATGCCATCTCCTACGTCGACATATAAATACACAGTGTTACAAAAATTGAAGTCGCCGTACGCAAATAAGGTTGAGCAGTCAATTGAGTTGCATTTGTCAGAGGCAGTACTTATTGAGCTTATTATTTCATCGAGCGTTAAGTTGTTAAGGTCGTGAGGACAGTAGAGACAGCCTATTAAAATTGATTCTTCGTGAAATTTTAATTTGATCCAGACTTGCTCAATGGTGGTGCGGTTGAGTTGGTCAATTTTGTGAAAGAACAATCGAGGCTTTCCTTTGTGTAGATAGCTACTCGTCCTCTTCCAATTCTATTTTTTTTTAACAGTTGGTACCGAGCTATTTTTGTGTTGGAGTTGTCGGTGAACCAAGTTTCGCCAATCAAAATTATGTGTGGTTGAAGTAAAATATCTATTGAGGTAATTTTGGCTCTTAGTTTGTCAATTTTATGGCCAAAGGTTATTGGCCCAGTAGATGAGTTGTTCTAGTTTCTTTGCTTTTGGTTGTGTTGGTTGTTGTAATTTTGGTTTTTGGCTTATCGGAAGAGGTTTTTGGCTTATTATAATTGCTGTACGTTGTCTATTGCGGTTGTTTGATGTTGAGTTCGTCAACCATTTATTATTTGTTGAGTTGGGTACTGGAGTGTATTGGGTGTTGAAGGATGGTTTAAAGTTGAGTGCTAGGTTGTTTATTGGTGTGGTCAGTTAGAGACGTTGGTTGATTAATGGCTATCTGGTTTTGGTAATTTCTTTGATCTTGCTGCCTCGTATTACGAATAATGTTGTTGATTTTGCAGGTAGAGATGGATTTTGTTTTTTGCATTCAGTGCGTAGTTGCCATGCTAAGTTCTTTTCGACTGCCGTTAGGTCAGGGTTGACGAAGAGTGTGGCATAATTAGCTCGATTCGCTGGAACTCGAAAAAACAAGCTGGACAGTTTTAGTACATGGTTGCGGTCGCTTTCATTAGAAAGTGTGATAACTAGCGGTTTAATTTGGTTGCCCGCAGAGTCGCGAAGCGTAAGGCGGAAAAAAGTAAGGTACTTAGCTTTGTCAGCACCGAGTAAGGTCGAGTACTTTGTTAATTTTAGTTTCATCGTGTTGCTTTTCGTCGTTCTGGTCGGATAAAGTTGATTTGCTTATTCCATGGATGACGATATTCTTCCATCGGGTTTTGCGTTCTTTTGATTCTTTGGCAATAGTACCTATCATGTTGATTTGTTGTCGGTCTTTTTTAGGAGATTTAGAGTTCTTGCTAACAACCTGGTTCCACATGGTGGCTGTTGGTGTTGTACCTACTTGTATGTTGGTGCCGTGTTGTGTAATCATGGTTTTCAAGTTTGCGATTGTTAAGTCCTGGGTGTTGAAGATCATATTTGCTAGTTCAGTCTTCTGGTTGTCTATCTGGCGTTCAGCGGCTACGACTCTTGCGGTGAGTGAGACTATTTGTTTTGTGAGCTCATCGCGGAGGACATATGTATATATATATATATATATATATATATATATATATATATAATATATATATATATATATATATATATATATATATATATATATATATATATATATATATATATATATATGTATGTATGTATGTATGTATGTATGTATGTATATATATGTATATTTGTAAAATAATTTTAATAATTTATTTTATTGTATCATGACTATTTTTGTGAACTAAAAAAAAAAAAAAAAAAAAAAAAAAACGTTTTATAAAAATGGAGGACATTATTTAAGAAAAAAACTATATACAAAAAAAATTCACTAAAATCACAGAAGCCATATTTGAGTTTTAACTTCGTCAATCCCATAAAAGTATCAAACATTAAAATCACTATTTTCTGAGGCAGAGAGACGTTTTGCACAATTATATTGATTTTTAAAATTGTTACTAGTCAAGTCGACTTCATAAAGCTTTTTTGAAAACCCGTTAGTAATATATTTCCGATCGAAACCAGATTAAAAAAATTATTGGCATGCAAATTTAGAAAAAACATTTTTTTTATTTTTAGCTATTTGATTTACTGGAAAACATTTTTTGCCATTATCTCAGAATAAAAAAAAAAAGCGAATTATCTGGTTTTGCAAGTCCACTCAATTATAGAGCGGTAATTAATTAACTTTATTTTGTCGTTAAAAAAAAAAAAATTCAACGCCGTGTTATATAAATACAATTAACATGATCGGGGCTAAAAGAAGACAATATTTGCTTTATCACTAACCCCGACATGCTTTCATTAGCAAGCGACTACAACAATAAAAAGGTAAACATACAATCACTTTGTACAATTTAAAAATTATATACAAATATTTACAAGTATGTTAATATCAGTTACTAATCTATAATCAAAAAAAAAAAAAAAAAATCACACCTAAAAACTAAAAATAAGTTAATAGGATAGTTTAAAGAATTAAATTAGAGACAAGTTAATAAGATAGTTGTTGTTAAAAAAAAAAATTAAAAAAGAATTTAATTCATTAACATCACAAGTTTGAATAGAGAAAGAGAAGAACAATCAGCTTGTTAGTGTTCTATAATTATTAGTGTTCTATAATTATTAGTGTTCTATAATTATTAGTGTTCTATAATTATTAGTGTTCTATAATTATTAGTGTTCTATAATTATTAGTGTTCTATAATTATTAGTGTTCTATAATTATTAGTGTTCTATAATTATTAGTGTTCTATAATTAAGGTTCATAAAAAAGTGTTTCAGAATTAAGGACCTCTTATGGCAATAGAAAATTTGTGCATTTTTGGTTGCTCGTAATTGTAATTTAAAAATGAAGGGTGTTTAATTTTATTGAAAAGTGTACTAAATATAATAGGAGTTATTTTATTATGAAGTTTCTACATAAATATAAGAATTTGATAAAAGTTTTCACTGAAATCGTTTTTATAGACAACATTTTTTTTATATCGCATTTGAGTAGCCAAGGCTTACCTACCGAGTTAAGTATACGCAAGCTCAAAGACACTAATTATAACATCATGATGAGAACGTATGCAAATTTTAGAAAATTTATAACTAAAGTCTTTCGCTTAGCTGGTTTGCCAGATCCACGTCAATGTTCTGACTTTTTATTCTATAAAGGGCTAGTTAGGTTTGCAAAAATATTGTCTAAATGTGCGTATAAGTGCTAATAAATCAACTACTTAGTTATACTGAATAATATAATAAAATAACAAAACTGTTTAAAAATATAAATGAATAAAACACAAAACAATGTAATGAAAAAAACTAAACATAAAACAAGTGTAATTAACGACTGAAATATGAAACAAGTGAACTTACCAACTAAAACAGAGAACAAGTGTAATTACATATACATTTACAGAACTAAATCATAGAACAAGAATAATTAACAACAGAACAAGTGTAATTAACAAATAAAACACAGAAATAGTAGAAAACTATCGAGCTCTCAAATTAATTTGGAATTAATATTTAGGTAATCCAGCATCAAATAGGAAATGCTTTCATAATTTGCAATAATCAGGAAATGCTTTGATAACTCAGAAAGAAAAAACGCTTTAATAATAAATATAAAATTTAAGAAAAGTTTATTATTTTTAAAACCTATTTACAGTATTATTGTAACAATACAAGGAATACCTATTTTAACCTTAACAACTTTATAAAAATAAATTACGTGTATATTTACAAAAAAAATTTAAAATGTAAAAGATTTTATGGCGAGTGATGACGAACTTGTGATGAGTGACTGATATTGACAAAAACATCTGTGAAGAGTGAATATTATTTTTTTTTCAAATTTTTAATTTTTTTCTTTTTCTTCTTTTCCTTGGTCTTAGATTTTACAGACGCAGGTGCAACACTTTTCGACGGAGAACTCAATCCTTTATAAGAAATAATATTGAATAATCTATTTAATAAAATAAATTTAATGTATTTATAATCTAATAAAATAAATAAAATATTTATAATTTATAAAACATTTTATTAGAAACATTAATAAGATTTACAATATTAGATACAAATATTCTATTAAAATATGGATTAATAATCTAATTATAGAATTATAATTTTAATTATAGAATAATAATCTATTATAAACTATTAAAAATATAAATTATAAAAACACAGTGAAATTCGGTTAACTCACGATAAATTAGGTAGGATGGGGTGTGAAAATCAATAGATATTGACTAATAGCATGACCGTCTATACTAACAGGCTTCCTAAACGCATAATCAAAGCCTGAGGCTAAGGGGAAAATAAAAAACAACAACAACTGAGGAAATTTTAAGTATAGCAGGAATATTTGTTCATAAAAAAGCATTTAGTGTGCGTGAACTATTTTTTCATTTTATTTTATAATTAAAACTTATTAATTGCTACAAAGACTAAAAAAAAACATTCCTTAGCTATAAAGCATTGTCTATAAAAAAAAAAGTTTTGAAAAAAACATCAATTGAACATATTTAGTAACACACAATAGGTTTGCTTTGAAAGTTTCAAAATCTTTTGATAAAACGCTTTAGATGACCTTGGTGCAAATTAACATTAGCATGAAATAGCATGTTTCTTTTCTATATTAAAGTTAAAAGACTCTGAGATCAACATTAAAGCATTGCAGAGTGACTTTCGGCAGACATTACTAACAATTTCATGAAATAAAATATAAGTGAATATGTTTCACTGATTAACACTGTCATTTGGTATTTTTAAACCTCCGCAATTAATATATATATATATATATATATATATATATATATATATATATATATATATATATATATATATATATATATATATATATATAAATGATTACAAAATAATAAATAAATATAAATAACCAAAATTTGGTTATTTATATTCACTGGGCCAAAATAATGTTACTTGGGTAACAAAATGTTACCCAAGTAACATTATTTTGGCCCAGTGAATTTAAATAACCAAATTTTGGTCGATATGCATGGCTTGACTAAAAATATACTTTAAGACGCTAAATTTTTTGTTTGCCTTGATTGCTCTACTTTATCGTTAAAGTAAGACATATATATTCAAAATTTTAAAACATGATATCTACAGATATTCACATAGTAACACATCAAAATTTCAACATAGCTTCAAGGTGAAAGTAAAATCCATTTATCATACCAATTTTTTGATTTACTTATTTACATAGATCATCCAGGTCATATTTTAAAAATCCGAAAAATCACTAGGGTAAAATATCCGGAATATATTTTCCCTAATAATCCTCTTAATTTTGATTTTAGCTAAGCTGTATTTAATTTTTTTTAACTTTTCTTAATTTTTGTATGAGTAATGAGTGAAAAAGCTTAAAAAACAAATATATTACAAAAATATATTACTAAACTAAATAGAAAACATTTTTGATATCCGGAAAAACTAAAAGTTGATAAAAATATGGTAAGTTGAATATAATTTGATGTAGACTTAATCAATTAATTTTTTTGCATTTCATTTTCAAGTTTTGAAAAAACTAAATTAAAAAATTCTGTATCACCCATTACAGTTTTGAAGTTAACTTTGTTAGGAGGGAAATACTTGGTTCATAATCTTTCCTTTATCTTGAAATTGCAAAGCAATCAAATACTCATGCAATAGTTTCTGTGTTGTTTTTTTTCCTAACTGTAATAGAGCTAATATCATGAATGTGTTGTAAAAAATTTATTTATATATAGGATTTTGTGAGATTATTTAAAAATTCAGTAGTTTATGAAAATCCTGTTCAGATAGAGATTCGATTTCATGCTTAACCCCACCAAAGTATTCCTATAAAGTAAGATCATTCTTGATCTCAAGCATAAATCTGACAATCAAAAAGTTTTCTTTAAAGTCTGTCGACTGAATGAAAGCAACTGTTGCAAAGTGTTCACCAGCTAAATACCATGTTACATTAACTACACTAAATTGAATTTCATTATTTTGTAACTTCTGACGTAATAGCTAAAGCATGTAATTTTATCAGCAGCTAAAAACATATCAAGACCATTTGGCATTGTGTTCCTTACAGATAAAGTTGCTTTGATGGTTGTTATTAATGCCGGTAGAAGAGTAGGTATTAAAATAGGTTTGAAACACCTGAAAACTATTTGAGGATCACAAGGCCTTTTATGGACAAATTTGGTTACTGTTGGATATCCAGATAGAAAGTGTCTTTCGCAAACAACTGTATCTTGACTGTTAGATATAGTTGTTTGCGATATATTTGTATATTGTCTCGTGGCATAGCTTTTGCTATACCATGAAAGAATATACAAATATATCGCGATGGCAAATATATTCTTTTTTTTCATAAGGAAGGCAAAGAAATTTTTGTTTAATTTTTTCTTACCATCACTGTTCACAACAATTTTTAGAAACTTTTTGTATATTTTTACATTAACAGTTTTTTTTTTGTATATTTTTATATAAACATCATATAACTGTTAGTACAGACACCTATAACTAACAGCCGTTGAATAGAATAATACAAGATTGATTGATTTGTTTGAATGAAGAGAGAGTTAAAAAAAAACAACTAAAAATAGCTGACGGACGGTTAAATCATCAATTTTATTTTTTAAATCATAAGAACTAAAAACAAAAAAATTTTTTATAGAGAAAAACATTATGTTAGAAAATCTCAATTAAACATATTTTATGATAGACTCGATTGAACATATTATGATAAAGATCAAATGCTTTTTAATCTCAAAATCTCGATTAAACATATCATGATTATTCATGATAATCTCGATTAAACATATCATGATTAAACATCTTGATTAAACATATCATTGCTTTTAAATCTCAAAATTTACTTTAACTCTTGAAATATTCATTTTACTCAACTTTTTTCAATTCAATAATATTTTGAAATATCAAACAAAATCAATTCAATAGTATTTTGAAATATCAAACAAAATCAATTCAATAGTATTTGAAATATCAAACAAAAAAAAACATGGTCTGCTAGAAATTTGAGTTAACATGTTTTCACTTTATTTTAAAAAAAGCATTTATTCATACCATTTATCATTGTGTTTATTTCAGTGTCTTCTTCGGTTTCCCTAAAATAAAAAAAGATTTTAGTGCATGGTTTTTTATAAAAATCATAAAATAATTATATAAGCAATATACTTAAGCCTATCTTCTTCCAGCCTATCTACAATGGCATTCCTTTTCGATACTAATAACAAAATTGTTTCTAATAACTGATTTTCAAGTTGTTGATCTGCTTTACTGCGCATGCTTTCTAAAAAAAGCAAAATGTTTAACAATTTTTCTACATTAAATAAAACATTAAAACAAGTACAGAGATTTCATCTTTTTTTAATGCTTGAGAAAGATAACTCAGAAATAGAGCAAACTTCAAACTTGATTATGTTATAACAATACCAATCAACGCTTTGCAAAAAAATTACAGTAATAAGAACCTGGAAACAACAAAAATTTCAAAACTTTTCTCTTCTCTCAACCCCAAATGTACATTATATTTGGGGTTGAGAGAACTATTGAGAAAGAAATATAACCAATTTAAAATAAGTTATTGGATAAAATGTGTCTAAAATTAATTATTTCCTTCATTTTTGGAGAAAATAATAGGTAGAGAGTAAGGGGAGGGAGAGGAGCTACTCACAGGTTTTATGATTTATTTCCTAACTAAAATTACTGCAATTTTTTGATAAATATCATATCCAAGTTTGCTCAATATCTAAAGGAATTCTTCCTCAAGCATCAAAAAAAGATGCAGTAATTTCTGATTCATAACTGTACCTGGTTTTAAAATTAGTTGTCTCAATTGAAATTCCTTTTCCCTCTGTTGATTTAACAGTTGAATATCTTGTAACCTAGCAACAAATTGTTAAACTAAAAAAATCAATTAATTTTCTGCTTGATGGATGTAATTGATATCCAAATATAAAAAAAAATAACTTAAATTATTTATATATATTGATACATATACCTATCTATCTAACTATCTACCTCTCTTTTATATATATACACACTATGGTGTATATAGATCAATAAATAGTTTTGCTTTTCTTTAAAGTATATGGCTTTTTCAGAAAAAGAAGGGAAAAATAAAGAATAAAAGAAAAGATTGCTGCCTGAACCCTCAGTTGATGTAGCTGCATTTCTTTGCAGCACACTATGTTTTGCAAAGCAGAAATAGGATTTTACTTTGCTGAAAAAAATGTTCAATTTTGTTATTTTAAATATTTTTTAACCGAAACAACTTACTATTAACTAATAAAAGAATTTTTCAAATTTTTTTAAATTTGCTAATTTAATGTGGGATTTTTAGGGGTAAAAAAAATCTGGGTTTTCACTAAATCTTTATTTTTTACATAAGATAATTTCCAAACATCAAATTTTTTTGCATATTAAATAAATGATACAATTTGTAAGTTAAAAACCAAATAAGGAAATAAAAAATGTTTGGATCATTGTTATTGTGTGTCTGTAAAGATTGATCGATTGGACCATGTTACTACAGAGGTAGCTAGTTTTTTATTTGTTATAAACTTTCGGGAATAAATTGACTTTTTATAAGTGAAATTATATTCTGGCTACCTCTGTAGTAACATGGTATAAAACTACTTCAAATGTAGTGGGGTTTTTTAAACACTGGTTAGTTAACAGTTTTTGTTAAGTATAAAAAAGCAAAATTGGATGCAGAGTGGTACATTCGACTTTGTTAGTTCTTTTAAGCTAGCCTTTTTTAGTTCTTTTAAGCTATAACTTCTTTAAAGTCTATAACTTTTAAGTTAAGCGTGGTTTAATGTTTAAATATTACTTACAATCTCAGCAAACTTTTGTTTGATGATTTTCTTTCAAGGCATATTTTCTATATATGTGCTATATTTTTTTAGTCTATGCTTTAATCACTTTATGCTGGTTACACAGTGAGTTTTAACATTTTCGAAAGTCTTGCTTTTAATTAAAAAAAAATTTGTGGAAAAAGAAAAAAGTTTTTTCTTACTAAATATATAAACACTTTTTGATTAAAAATCAACAAACTAAATTTCTCTTGTGAGTATATGTTTTATATATTAAGTGTGTATATATATATATATATATATATATATATATATATATATACATACATATATATATACATATATATATAAATATACATATACATATATATATATATATATATATATATATGTATATATATATATACATATATATATATATATATATACATATATATATATATATATATATATATATATATATATATATATATATATATATATATATATATATATATATATATATATATATATATATATATATATATATATATATATATATATATATATATGTCATGCTTGTCTAACTTTCTTGGCAAAAAACACTAGTTATACAGCTAATTTTTTTTTTTTTTTTGAATTTAATATATAAAAATCAAATTTTAGCTTTTAAGTAACCATTTAATTAAAAATAAAAATTTTATTCTACACTCGTATAGGGAGAAAATGAAAAATACAATTAGTTGATAAATAAAAAACTGCTTATATTAAGACAATAATAACAGTAACAAAACAAACAACAAATAACAATTAAACAAACAAAATTAACAACCCAATAATAAATTTTTTATTCTTGTAATATCACGTTGTTTTAAAGTTTTGGAGTGCGGCACTTTTTGTTGCAATAAAACTTGGTGACTTTACATAATGTTCTCATATACAAGTTTGACAAACTTTTTAAATTTTTAAAAACTTTAAAAATTTTACAAAAAATTTTACAGAGTCACTATTTTAAATTGATTACAATATATTTTTACACCTGACTTAGTTTACTGGCATTGCTGCTGCCGGAGTCAAGATTATCGCTTAAAATATTTGGTACTCATCATCAAAGCTTACATTGTTTCATAGATTATTTTGCTGTGTTCTTGCTGTCAGTATCGTTTAACCTTTTGATTAATTTATTAAGACACTCCTCTTTGAATCTTGGCACATTTACATTTTTTGTTTTTTTTTTATTGATTATAAAACAGCTGCTAGAGAAAATATAGTGATGCTAGATGTTGTTAGTGTGAATTTAGAAGGCAGTGGTATAAATGAGGTAGTTATTGTTAATCGTGATGATAGTAGTTATGGTGACTGAACTTTGGTGGTTGTGACAATAATGATGTTTCAAACATATTAGCCATTTGCAATTTTGTCTGATCTTTTTAAATTTGTTTTAAAAATGTTCAGCTTGCTATTGAATAAAACAATTTTTAATAAATTATTGTACAAAATCTCTGCACACAACTGTTGAATTAATTTTCACCAAACTGACATGGCAATAAACATCATCATCTAGTAGCTGCACATTGTTTTTTTAGTTTGCCTAATTTTCCATCTGTAACAATGTACTTCTATAAAATGTTCATCTATAATTAAAATGTGAATACTTATATTTAGATTGAATTTCATTGGTTGAATTACATCTTCATTCACATCTTTATCTACAATTACACATTCAAATGCAACTGTGTATTATTAAGAATAAAAAGTAGAGTTTTAGAAAAAAAAACCTAACTTCAACATAACTTCTATAGACAATCTGTCTATGCAGATGATTGGGTGCATAATTAGGGTGGATGCAAGAACCAAACTTGAGTCAAGTTCGACTTGAACTTTATTTTGTAACCAATAGCGGCAGAGTATTTTTTGAGGGGAAAACCCATACTCTGTCGCTATTGGTTAGAATGTAAAGTTTAAGTTGAGCTTGACTCAAGTTTGCTTCTTGCATTCCACCCTTAGTTTACCAACAAAACTATTTTTTTAAATCCATATAAGACATTGCTTCATTCTCTATAACATTATTTCAATTATAATAATAACCAAAAATAATAAGATATTGAAGAATAATTGTCAAAAATATCACTAATTAAAATTAAAGTTTTATGCAAGGTGCAAAACCCCAAAACAAAATATTAAGTAATTTAAGGTAGAAAACCCCTTTAAAAAACAAATTTAAAAAAAGCCTATTATTTTCCTATCTTGTAAAAAGTTTATTAGAGATAGCTCATAATTAATATTTTTAAATGATTAAGGTTTGCTGACTTAAACAACGAAACAAATAAAAGGAAAATAAAATTTGTCTGAGTGGATGTCCATAAATTATGCAATGGCACATTTAAAAATTATAAGTATAATACTGTTGAAGTAATTTGCACTAAACTCTTTGACATGGAAATAAAATTGAACATCTAGTAGATTCAGAAAGTATGTAACATGTCACATGTCCATCTATAACTATTCAGAATATATATGTAACATATGTCACATGTCTATCTACAACTATAATATAAACACCAATTGATTAATAACAATTAATAAAAGCAACATTCATTAATTTAACAATTAACATATTATTAATTTAACAATTAACATATTATTAATTTATTATTTAAAATCAACTCTTTAATCAAAAATAATTTAAAAATTCATGACCAGTATAAAAAAATATAAAAATATACATTTTAAGTTCACTGATAGCAAACTTAATTTTAAAAAGTTTTATTTATTTTAACAATACAATTTAATTTTATTAAAATTTTTATATTATTCAGACTCTCTACAAGATGATTTTATATTATTCAAGACTAGAGAGTCTTGAACAAGATGATTGAAAAATTTTATCAATAATACGATTGAAAAAGTTTCTCAACAACTTGATCAAAATATAGTTGCAAAAAGTTTATTTAATAATTAAGATAATAAAAAGGATTGTCATAACTATTCCATAACCTCCTCTATCTTATTCTACCCTGTTTTACTCTATAGAAAATAAATAAAACACAAATAACAGGAGTGTACTATTCTTTTTTTTAATGTTATTTCATTGGTCTGATTAGAACAGACTACTACGACTACGACTACTACTACTACTACTACTACTACTACTACTACTACTACTACTACTACTACTACTACTACTACTACTACTACTACTACTACTACTACTACTACTACTACTACTACTACTACTCAGACACAAAATAATATAGTTTTTTAATAACTCATATTTGAATAAAATAATCTTCAGACACAAAATAATATAGTTTTTTAAATCTCATGTTATATATATATATATATATATATATATATATATATATATATATATATATATATATATATATATATATAACATGAGATTTATAAAAAACAAGAAACAGAAACCACTTTCAAATTAAAATATTAATTTGAAAGTGTTATTAATTGATATAATAGAAATTGCAATTTATTAAAATGTCATCAAAGCAATTTGAAAATCGGAAAAAAATCTTGAACATTCATGAAAAAATTCTTTCTTGAAACTACAAATGAGTCTCAGAAGCTTCTAGAATTCTTAGTTATATGTTACAAGTCTTTCCGAACATTTAAATACCCAAATTATTCTTACAAACAAAATTCTATGGCCAAAACATGATCACAAAAACTTGACACCTAAGTTTTGACAAAACTGAATGGCTGCATTTTGATGAACAAGGAGATTTTCTTTTCTTATTTTTTTCTAAGTTTAAATCTGTTACATTGCAATGACATCATTTTCACACACACATTATTCGAATGACTCAATAAAAATAAAAAAAACATCATTTGAATGACTCAATAAAAATAAAAAAAACATCATTTGAGAACATTATAAAAACTTAAACAATTTTATTTTTCTTAAATTAATATAAAGATCTTCAAAGGTTAAGATCATTGATTATCAAAATTATGTAATAGTTGTTTATTTAATATGTAATTGATTTAACAAAAAGTAATCATAAATTGGAAGAAAAACAAAAAATGGCAGACAATTTCATTTAACTTAAAATCAGTATCTAAAGTAAAACTTTACCAAAGAATGTTTCAAAATTTAAAAACAGGTGAAAATATTATTTTTGTTAAAAAACATTTAATTTGAATGATTAAAATCAATGTGAATTATCTTAAATAAAAACAAATAACTTTCTAATGCTTGTATTTACTACCTTAAACTTCATGCTTACCTCAACCATCAGTTAATAAAAACAATATTTTTTTGTGTAAAAAATATACCTAAAATTTTAACATCTATTGTTTAAGATTTTTAAAATAGCTTTTTAACTGACTTTTTAAATTTTTTTTTTTTTAAAAAGACGATTTAAGTTTTTTTTGTTGGTGTCTTTTGGTTAATGATTATCTAAATAAAGTTTATTACCATGGCGACATATATATATATATATATATATATATATATATATATATATATATAATATATATATATATATATAAATTGCATATAATTTTTACATATAAATAAGCTCATTCTCTTTACGAAGCAGATTATTCTTCTTGTTCACCAATTGAAACCATTCTATGAGGTATGCTTCTTCCTGTTCGCCTAAGAATTTAAAGAACTTGTTACAGTTTGAAATATAAAAAAATCTATTCAATTAAAATCAAAATCAATATATCCAAGACAATACTAAATGTGTTTAAAAACATATGCCTATCCTAGTCCAGACCATTTGGACTGACATTATATGACAGACATTTCATAAATTTTAAGTGTTTTTCAAGAATACAAAAAAAGATTGATAATTTTTTAGAGATATAGAAAATAATATAATAAAATCAAATTTTTGAAAAAAAGTTGATATTTGAACTCAAAAACATACTTAGCTAGATAGTTGTTTGAAAATATATTTAACTACCTTTGTGGTTATACCACAAACGGTAGCTAAAAAATCATTGATTAATTGGCATTGGTTGATGCATCGGCACTGGCTAATAAGCCAAATCAAACTGGTGCGTAGGCGCTACCTTATCTATGCAAATGGCATACCTAATATTATTATATTACTTTTATATACATATATTAAACCTTAGACATTAGCCTCAATCGACCATCATTAGCCTCAATTGACCATCATTAGCCTCAATCAACCATCATTAGCCTCAATCGACCATCATTAGCCTCAATTGACCATCATTAGCCTCAATCCACCATCATTAGCCTCAATCGACTATCATTAGCCTCAATCGACCATAATTAGCCTCAATCGACTATCATTAGCCTTAATCAACCATAATTAGCCTCAATCGACCATCATTAGCCTCAATCGACCATCATTAGCCTCAATCGACCATCATTAGCCTCAATCGACCATCATTAGCCTCAATCGACCATCATTAGCCTCAATCGACCTTTGCCATATGCACATCACTACTGGAAGGTTATGGAAGAGGCAGGTCAACATTTTTTACTGTTCAAACTTTTTTTTTCGAATGAGGCAATGTTAATAGAAAAGAGGAATCATGGCCATTTTAGGCCTCTATGTTGTATTTAACAACCCCAGGGTTGTTAAATACAACATAGAGACTAAATCTTGTACCAGAATCAGAAAATTTCTGTTAACCGAATCTCTGAAGGCTAGAAAAAAGTAAGGAAAATTTTTTTTTTTTTCAGATTAAAAATATTTTACAGTGGATCCAGAAACAGAAGAACTGACAGGTACTTTTTAACCCAACATGTTCGGGATGACCCTGACCACATCAAAACAGAAAGTCATGCCAAGCGCTTTAGTCAAAATAAAATTTTGGGCCTGCTAATTTCAAACAGCTTCAAAACCCCTTAAATTTTTTTTACCAGCAGAAGGGTGCAAAAGTAAAAGCTTCAAAAGGGTGCAAAAGTAAAAGCTTCAGAGGATACAAAAGTAAAGGCTTCAGAAGGGTGCAAAAGATTATTTAGACCAAGTTTTCAAGCCCCATGTTGTTACCTAGATATGTGGCAACTTTAAGAGTTGTGACAATTTTGATTGTAGACAATACCATCAATTTTTTCAGTTGTGAAAATTTTGATGGTAGATGATAACATGTTTAAAAAGATATTCAGCTATAGTTACAGAATCAGTAGGTTTTCACTTTCAAGAACCCTGATTATCCTTAAACATTATAATCTTTTGTTTTATACCTTTTGTACTAATAGTGTTTTTTATTTTACTATATTTATTAATTTGTTTTATTTTTTTATATTTATTTATGTTTTCTAAAACTATTAAATTAAAAATAGACTTATTTAAAAAGTATACCAGTTTGACATTCCCTGAGTTTTTTTTCCATTTCAACTCCTTCCATCTCTAAAATTCCTTGATGTTGTTCAATATGACTTAGCTCATTTTCAATAATTTCAATTTTGCTCAAATTTTTTTTCAAAATTAGTTCATGCTCTGCAATATCTTCTTCAAAAGTAACAGGTGGTTTTGCCGGGCGTTCTGGTGCTTTTCGACGATTACTTTGTCTCAATGAACTTCTGCTTTGTCTAGATGAATCTATGTTTTTATTTACAGTAAGATTTTCTAAACAGGTATCCTTTTCATTTGAACATTTCATAACATTTTGATCATGATCATTTTTTTCATAATTATTCTCAGTGTGTTTTGATTGGTTGATGTTTTTATCTGATTCCTGAACATTTTGAGAAGGAACTGAAGAACCTAATACATTATCTATTATTGTCTTTACTTTCTCAACATTTTCATTCATAAGAGATTTTTCAGTATTTTTAAGGGGTGGATTTGGGGCTCTTTTTTTGACACTTGGAGCTTTAACAAATGTTTTATTACTTATGGAAAGGTTTGGACTTGAAGAATATTCAGAAACGCTTGTTGAATTACATGGAGAAAGCCTGGGGTCTGCAGTAGGGTACGACACATCCTTTATATTTCTTACAGATGGTCTCGGAACTACAGTGGGTTTATCATTTAAAACACGCACAGGAGGGGTGGGTGCCATACGTTTCTTACTTGAATTTAATTGTGATCTAATTATTGTTGGTTTGTCAGGTTTTTTGGAAAAACCATCATTATTAACAGCCATAACTGCTTCATCTTCATCAGATGAACCACATAAGAATGGGTTAGAGTAATTAGGATTTTCTGAGTCACTAAGAAATGGATTAAGTGTAGCATCTGAACTGCTATTGGCAAAATCATTCTCATACAAATTGTCAACTGAACCTAAAAAAGGATTAGAGCTACTAAGTTTAGAACTTTCTAAAAAATCTTTATCTGGTTCAGAATCAGAACTTTCAAATGGATTGTTTGACTTTTCAGAACATTTAGAGCCTCTTAATTTGTTATTTTTTTCGTCTTTATTTAAAATATTCTCAGTATTAATTAAATTATTAGTTTCAATGATTTTGCTTTCATTTAAAAATACGTTTGTTGTCTTCAAATTTTCTAAGTTTTTATTAGAATCCTCAAGTTCATTAGATGTCGATTTTATTTCAAAATAATTAATTTGTTCATAATCATTTTCTGATGGTTGGCTGTCTTGAACCAAAGATTCGCTGTCTTGATTAGAAATAATGGCATTCTCTTTAAAACTGGTAATATTTTCATAATTATGGCAACTTGATTCATAAAATTCAGATGTTTCTTCACAAGATGCTGACCCAGCATTTGATGTAAATTCATTTTCTGTTGATTTTTGATTTAAAAATGATTCTTTGCGCGCACCTTTTTTTTTTTTTTTCAATACTAATTTCTTTTTATGATTTTTCATATCTGTAATCTGTTCACAATCTCCTTTAAAAAATAACAAGTTATCTGGCAATTTGATTGCCTGGCTGTCAACAATATGCTCACAATTTTCCTTAGCAGATAGAAAATTATCAGGTTTCTTTGGCGAGCTGGCTATGCCAGTAATTTTTTCACAATTTTCTCCAAATGAATTTAAATTATCTTTTGATAGAGAAACTCCTAGGGTGGGTGAAACACTTGAAATTTGGGTTTCTACATTTTTGTGGCATATAACTGATTCAGTTGCTTTTTCATTAACATGAACTAAATTAGGTTCACTTTGGTTAAGTCTATTCATGTAAGCTGACAATTCCAAATGATGTTGATAAGCAGGATTATTAAATTCTAGACTATTTTCTTCAATTTCTTTTTTTTTTAATATATTTGCTAAGTATGATTTGGCTTTTGGGATTGAAGGTATTGTTGGCTGAAGAACATTTTCCCCTGATTTAATTGAATAGGATGGATGACATTGAATATCAACAGGGGTAGACTGAGGACGAAGACCACGCCGAGTGAATACCTCATTTCTTCTAAAAGGTGAAATATTTATTTGTTTCTCCTCTTCTTTTAAGCATTCTGCACTCTTTGAATTGTCAGTAAATTCAATCACTTCTTTAGGTTTCTCAACTAAAAAAAAAATATGTTTTAAAAAGAACATTTAAAACAGCATCAATTACTACAAACAAACCATTTAAAATAATTACCAATCAAATTGTTATATGATATGTCATGTATATTATGTTATAGATTGTTAAATGATGTCATACATTATACATATCAGAAGACTTTTGATATGTTTATATATATATATATACTAATTATTTCCTCGCATTAATAATCAATTATTCATCATTATGTCAGTAATTATGTTTTCTTTATTTTACTTTTTACATGTGTGCATTTTGTGAATTTATATGATAGAGATAATTTAATAATAATAATTTTTTTTTTGAACTAAAAATAGTTTTATTAATCAAATGCGATCAAATCCGATCTAATGACAAATCTGATTAAACTACTAATCATGCAACCAATAAAATTGAACATACTGACTAATATCTTATATCAATCTGACCAATCAAGACAATTAAAAAAATATGTATACATATATTAGGTACCAGCAATTATTGCTTTAAGCTGGAGTAGGTGGTTTATAGATAATTTATAGGAAAATAAGAGTTATCTCAAAAAAAAAATTTTGTTAAAACTTTCAAGCTAAAAAGATAAATGTATTTTTTTTAACTTAAAAATAAAAATATAAAAAAATTTTTTTTTGTTAACTGTCTATATAAACCCAAATAAGTTGCAACATTTAAAACCATGTTTTTTTTATGTTTTATTTACATAAGTTAACTAACTAACTATATGGCTTTTATGTAAAACTACACATTTTTATAGTACCCAAACATGTCTAAAAAATTATTAAAATTAAAAATTTGATTATTTACATTTCATTATATATAAAAATACGGGGGAAAATGTTTTACAACAAAACTTGTTTTAAAAAATCATTAATTATAACTCCCTCTAGTTTATGTTTCATAATGAATTAAAAAAAAACTAAATTAAAAAAAGATTTAGGTAGACTTTCAAATTTTTATAGTTTTATGGTCTAGTTAAAGTATTCCGCTTGAAGCAATTGATTTGTCTAAAAAAAATTGTTAAATCGCTGGTGCCTAATATGTAACTTAGTGACACACAATAAGTTATCAATCACATGATTCAAAAAAAACTAAAAAAAAAATATTTTATCTCAAACTAAATTTAGGAAAACAAAGAAATTAGCTGCCATACCTTTTTCAGAAGAATGTTTTTCACAACAAAAATGTTTATCTTCACTCAACTTGTAGGTTGTAGATTTTAATAAATTTCCACATACATTGCATTTAAAACACACTCTGTGAAATATAAAACCTTCAACTACTACTTTTTCCATAAGATAAACTACTTTCCCACATGAAAAACAGTATGATGCATTTAATTGTTTTTCTGTATATGTCTAAATAAAAATAACATTTTAAATATTATATATTAGTCAGTGTATTTTGATAACAGAGCTAAGTCTATAAACTCCAAGAAGCCAGCTTTTACATAGTAAAATATTTTTCAGTAAAAAAATATTTTTTTTTAAATTAATATTCAATAAGTTGATTAAAAAGGTATAGTTAAATCATAGAAAAAAACTTTTGAAATGTATATACAATATGTGTGTGTGTATGTGTGCGTGTGTGTGTGTGTGTTTATATATATATATATATATATATATATATATATATATATATATATATATATATATATATATATATATATATATATATATATATATAAAACATGATAAATTCCTTTTTTTTTTGTAATCTACTTCTCCAAGGTCAAGAAGGTCACTACAGTTAAGTAGGCTACTATATTGTGGCAACAACTCTTAACTCCAAAACAAAAACGTTGATGAACAAGGCCACTGCACAGAAAAACAAGTTAATTAAACACTTTAAATATTTAAGTGTTTAAACAACTAAAAAATATTTCTGGGAAAATATTAGCTCATTTGGAGGTAACTCAACAAAGTCATAGATTTCATATCTTTTAATATTAGGCAATAATAATTATTTTTTATCTCAATTACATAATTTTCAAATTTAGTTGTTCAGGACTACCGTATTAGCAAATCTTATTTATACTTCTTTGTGCAGACTGCAGAAGTCTATACTATTAGACACACATTTAATATAAAGTTAATTTTTATAAGATTGGAATTTTTAAAAATTAGAAATATAAGAAAAATTACAACAATAATAAAAATTAGAAGTAAAACTTTAATATGTTTTTAATAAGTTTAATATATGAATACTTTAAAAGTTTCTCATTTTAATTTAGGTTTTGATGAAGACAACAGGAAGAAAAAATCTTGACTTGAACAATTTTTGCACAACCAATAGTTTGTGCAAATAAAGATTCAATGACAAAGGCAACTCTGACAGTACTTCAATTATTTTGAATACATAATTAAAAAAACTTTGACTTAATTTGAGTAAGGATGTATAAAATGATGCCTCCAATAAATTCAACATTTGATCCTGAAAAAAATGAGTATCATCAAAATAAAACTTAAATTTTAACAGTTGAGTTTATAGTGAGATATCAGAATTTAAGGCTAAATATGGGTTGACAAAATGTGCTAAAGACCCAAGGAGTCAATATAGCTCTTACTAATACAAGTTTTTTTTATATATGTGCTTGTGTGGTTTATATACGTGTTTATGTTCTGTCTGAACCTCTGGCACAGTGTTTACTCACTTGTAAGTTACTTAATATAATTTTCTTATTATTAGTCATGATAGCGCGGTCAAGTGGATTCTGCTTCTAGCTAGTAATCAGAGGGTTCGAGGTTTATTTTTTTTTTTTAGTTAGTAAACAAAGGTTGTTTATTTTTGTTGTTGCTTTTTGTGCACTAACTAAATAAAGTTCTGCACTTGGACCATATAAAGTCAAAGTACAGAATGTGCACTGCACTTAGACTGTTATAAGTGAAGGTGTTGCGCCTAAGGCTGTAACAGTCCGTTAACAGGCTGTAACTACTCTGTTAATGGAGTGTACACATTGACTAAGTAAAATTTAGGCACAGTTGATTTTACAATCAACATGTAGATCAACTGAGAGTTTAGTCAGAAAAGTCTTCTCTAGATTTCAATCTTTTAATTTCTTAGATCACCACAATCACTGCCTTGTAAAGCGTGATCTTTTTTAGGCAAAGGTTAGGAGAAATAAACTCGAACTTAAAAATCCCCTGCCTTAGGGTTCTTGGTTGAGTTAAGGCTAGAGATGGTATCTTGATAAAATACTCATTTTGGGCAGATGCTAACTGCATCCATCTAGTGTCTTGGGAGAAGCCTCTTAGGCAAAGACTTTAGGAGTGAGCAGAATAATTCTGTTAACCAGCCAGAAACTCCTTTATCTGTTAGGCTGGCCTCTATTTTTACAAAGTCACCTGTAGCACTCCAATCAAAACAACCCTTTACACTACATTCACCATGTTTTACAGTCAATAATACACTTATCATTAGCAATAACCAAACAAAAATAAAAAATAAATTACTTTTTGAACATTTGTTGGTCGTTTTTCAACAGGTAAACTATGAGACCATTCATTTGGTCTCTTCCTTGAAGAACGAGAAGACTCACCTAAATACAAAACTACAAATAAAGAAACAAAAAAATGTTTAAGAAGAGATTTTAGGAAAAAAAAAGTTAAACATAATAGTTACTGTATTTTAGTGTTACTAATACCATTTACTTCTAGCATATATTTAAGTGTTACTTTTACCTACTACCTCTAGTACATATTTTAATGTTCTTTTTACCTACTACCTTAGTACATCTTTTAATGTTATTTTTACCTACTACCTCTAGTACATATTCAAGGCATATTATAAAAGTATTTTGTTACCAGAGGTAACAAAATATTTTCAATATGCCTTGTTATTAAAGCTGAATTTATCAAGGTCATGTAATTATATTGAAATCATTTTTTAAGTAGAATATTTATCAAGATGTTATCTGAATAATAAAGTTGTGTATTTTAGTTAAAAATTCATACAAATTACAAGCAGTGACGTGCTGGCTCCAAACAGCTCATGCGGGATTTTTTTAAAAAGGCCCATTTTTACAGGATTTTACCATATTTGCTTGATTTCAAGGCCATAAATACAACAACGCTTTGTTTTATAACAGTGTTTTGTAACATAATTTAGAGCAAACTAAATAGAATTACTTTGCATTATAAAAAGAGTAGTATTGACAATTAGAAATATAATAATGATAGTAATAATGATTTCAAACAAAGGTCGAATGTTTAGGAGAACCTAGAGAAATGAATAATAATTTTTGAGATGCTAAAAAAATCAATGAGTAATTTTTATCGCCCGATGGTTAATTTCTAAAACAATATTCTGTGTTCAAAAATATTTTTATAATGCCAAGTAACTGAGCAATAGATAATCCAGAAATTATAAATTAATATTGATACTAAAATTAATATATAAATACCTTAATAATATTGATACTAAAATATATAGCAAGTTTTATTTGAAATAAGTTTGCCTGATAACTTTTAAAACTAGAAATTCTTTAACTTTTGTTAACAAAATAAGTGTGAACTACTATTTCAAAACAAGAAAGTCAATTACTTGATAATTAAATTGGCATTTGCGTTTTACAAAACATTAAAAAAATTAGATTCTTTTTTTTCTTTGATCGTTTAAAATAAATTTCATGCTTTGAAATCACCTTTTTTTTTTACATAGCCTGTGTCACATGTCATAAAAAAAAAGTAAAAAAAAATAAATTTAATTTTAGCCAGAAGCAAATTGATCTAAAAGACACAAATTTGGCCTGAATACTGATACATCTTTAATTATTATACAAAAGCTTAAGGTGTTAAACTTTAAATCAGATAATTAAAAAATTTAATTTGCGAAAGAATAAAAAAAAATTATTTGTTGATCATTTAAAGAATATAACAAAATAATTATTTTTCCGAAAGACTAATTAAGGCCTTCTTTTAAATAAAAAATGCTTAACGCAATAGCCTAATATGAATTTGACGTCATAAAATTCTCATGGACAAATAAATATAAATTTTTGAATTTTTAAATGATTATTTCTTAAATTTTTAATTGCGGCTCAGTAACTACAAATGATTTTTTATTTTAAAAAAATTAGAGAGTAACAAATAAAAAAATTACCTTAATCTGCATTATTTATTAAAAGTTTATTATTTTATTAACAATTGTGTTGTGAAAGCAAATATTATTTTATATTTATCATTTATCAAACAATAATCACTGTTATTTAAATTGTTTTTTTTTTTGTTTTGTTTTTGTTTAAAGTTTAATTTACACTTTGTGCAAATTTTTGATGCATTCATTTATTTAAAATTTAAATTTGAGTAAAAAAAAAAATGTTTAGGAGGGAAAACCGAAATAGAAATTTCAATAAAAATGACGTTTTTTTTATGGAACAAATAAAATTTAAATATTGAACAGTATTTAGTAATATTTTCAAATAAATTTGACAGTTAAGTTAAACCCAAACATTAACTTTAGTTTTAATAAACTTAAATATATTTTTTAAATCAAAATTAAATTATATATATATTTTTATCACAACATTATATATTTTTATTAAACTAGTTTTAAATTAAATCATTTTTATCTTAAATTACATAACTATGAACTTTGCCTCTTAAAGCTTAAAGTATAAGTATTTTTTGAGCAAAAAAATCAATCATTACAATAAAACAAAAACAAAATAAAAATAAATTTTTAATTTTATTTGAGATTTTTTATTAGTAAATAGCGTTTATATTAAAGATAATTCTCATTCAAACTTTTGTAATAATTACTTATACATAAACATCATTCAAAAGTTAATGTGACTTTTTTAAAAACTAATTATTTCTTTTATCTTAAGGCTTATAGAATAATTTAAAAGTTAAAAAATGATAAAAAGTTACTTAACCAAAATCGCTTACTGCTTACAGTACTGCTTACAAAATCGCTCCAGACCTACATAAATGGCTCTACGCGTAATGTTTTAAAACAACGCCTATAATATAATTTCTATAGTTTAGATCTTAAACTTACTGGTAAACTTACTGGTAAATGATAAAAAGATAAATATAGCCTCTATAGCCATCATGCCAATGATTACAAGGACTTTTATCACTTGTGATTTGTTTTATCACTTGTGATTTGTTTTATTACTTTTGTGACTTTGTTATCGAAGCAAAATAAAAGTTGATTTTATCTTAAGTTTATTTTTAATTACTATAACTTTATCATTATATATAACTTTATTTTTATTTTGGACCAATAAACCTTGACCAAACTTGAAATTAGAAAAAAAAAATTAAATTGTGGAACAAAGCACAAGGATCAAACAAGAATGTATAAATAAGGGTGAATCAATAAGTATGTATCAACAAGGATATATAAACAAGGATATTTCAACAAAGATGTATCAACAAGGATGTTTTAATAAAGATGTATCAACAAGGATGTATCAACATAAGATGTATCAACAAAGGATGTATCAACAAAGATGTATCAACAAGGATGTATCAACAAGGATGTATCAACAAGGATGTATCAACAAGGATGTAACAACAAGGATGTATCATCATTTCACTCCTATTAGTTTAAATGAGTTATGAAAAAACAAATGATAATACTGAAATATTTTATATTATTGCAAAAAACTAAAATATTAGTGTTATCAAAAAGTTCATTTAATTAGTGTCTTAATATTCTTGCCAATAAAAAAATATTCTTGCCAATAAAAATTTTTATAGATATTCTTAACATTAACTTATGTACATATATGCCTAATAAAATATTTTTAATTTTAGATCACTTGAATTATTAAAGCTATAATGCAAATTGACAAAATTGGTATTAGATTGTTAATTGAAACTTGTTGTCGTAATCAGAAGTCTCCATCTGATGCTCACAAATTCATAACTACTGCCTGGGGTTAGAATGCAAACAGTATAAACTCCATTCAAACAGTATAAAAATACTACTAAAAGTATTCTACATCAAACATAAGTGATTATAGTCAGTTTTCAGATGAATCGAGATCAGGTAGACCCAGTACCTCAACTACTATGGACAACATTGAGATCATTCAACAACTGCTTGATGAAGACAAATTTTTAACAATAGAGCATATTTGTGATGTCATAAACATTTCTTTTGGTTCAGTTTATTCAATAATCACCGAAAAATTGATGAAAAGATCAATTTGTTCACAATGGTTTCCATATGGCTACACCCCAGCAAATCAACAAAATCGGGTTGAACTTGTGCAAAAATTTCTGATCATCAACAAGATGATTTAAATGACGAACGAAGTCTAATTGTTGTGGATGAGAAGTGGGTTTACCACAGATCAAGCGTAGCAATCGTGCTTGGATTTCAAAAGGTGAAGAAGCTCCAAAACATGGCATTTGATGGAAAGGCTTATGTTGAGGTACTTTTCAAATGGACAATTGGTCGATTCGTAAGTGTACATACTTTGCCTATCGAATATACATTTTAATTTTGTCAACAAAGGCTCAAAAAGAGTAACATGGAACAAAATGCTCCTTCAGCACGATAATGCCAGGCCATAGGTGTTGCGAAAGAAAGTCTCTGACTGCTCTGCTGCAGTCAGAGACTTTCTTGCTGAGTGAAAAGTCACCTGTGTCATTCAACCTCCATATTGTCCCAACTTTAACTTGTTGAACAGAATGCTTTCTCTTAATTTGAGTTTAATTGCAAGGATTTTTGGATTTTCAGACAAAGGAAGAGGTTCAAGAAGCCATGGAGACAAACTTAAGGTCACATTCACATGATCATATGCAACAGCAACTGGAAAAACTGAAAACAGATTTAAATGATATAATTTTGCAGCAAGCAAAAACTTATGATCCACTCTTAATTTAATTGTTTTACGCTTATTCTTATTTTTTTGCTTATTCTTTGTTATAAAAAAAAAAATTATACAAAATTTTTGATTGACCCTAGTAATAAAAAGATTTTATTAAACATTAAAATGAAAGATATTTTTTGTAATTTTGTAATATTTATTTTTCTTTTCAAATCTGGGAGTAGGATGAAGAGAAAACATGGTTTTTATGTCTATGATTATATACGTTCTAAATCAGTCATTATTTTAAAAAATATTTCTCTTATTTACAAAATTTAAGATTTAAAAATTCTGATAAGATTTTTGAGTGATTTTTTTCAGTAATAAAGTAGTTCTATAAAATTAAGTCTTTTTTTAGAGATTTTAGGCCTCTATTTTAACTCAAAAAATGAACTACTTAAAAATAGCCTTTTTTTTAAATTACTTGAGCAAAAATCTATCAAGGGGCTGCAAATTTTAGGAAAAATCATTATCAAGATATTTTATGCTGAAGTTGCTTTGTTGTGACCTTAGAATATCATTAAAATACTGAATAAGCATTATTTCAACTGTCTCTTATTATCTGATGTATATTTTTTGTGAAAATTTTTTCCAGTTCTCATTTATTTAATATGGACAGCAAATGCAAAAATTTGTTGACTGCAAAAAAGCAAAAACAAATAAATTCTGAACATAGGGGTGATGAAAATGTTTTTTCCAATGACTTTATATGGAATGATTCAAGACTCTCATAAAAGCAAGTTATTCAATGCAAATGATGGTGTTTAAAAATTTAAAAATTACCTGGCATTTTATCTTTGAAATAGTTATAGTATTGCGATAAATATGTCATGATACTTAATCTATCTGGAACACTCATTTTAACCATGTCTTCAACATCTAATAAAGCTGGGATATCAAATTGTTCTTCTGCAATACGAAATGCCTATAATTAAAAATTAAAAAATAAAAAAAGTTATTTTGCAAACAGTTAAAAACTTTTTTATATACCTTATTACGATTTATTAACACAGGCCTCGGCAAAAACCAAGAGCTCTCGTAAAAAGCAGTTTAGAGAAACAGCTTGCATGGCTTTCCATGTTTGTTTTAGGAGAGCTTTTCTCCCCTCTCGCACAGATTTAATCCTGCCGAGGCCTGATTCATATTATTCATATATATCCTATAATAAACAATACATTATAATATACAATATATTATTATTATTATATATATATATATATATATATATATATATATATATATATATATATATATATATATATATATATATGTATATGTATATGTATATGTATATGTATATGTATATGTATATGTATATGTATATGTATATGTGTGTATATATATATATATATATATATATATATATATATATATATATATATATATATATATATATATACATATATATATATATATATACATATATATATGCAAATTATTTTAAAAACCACATTTTATTGTTTTTTACCATAAATAAGTTCTCTAATTTTAATCTGTGAGTCAGCACAAAATGTAAACCCCGCAAATATTAAAACAAAAAATCACAGATGCTAGTAAATAAGCTATCATCAATCATGAAGTTAACTATTTACGCATAAGGAAAAAATTTGCTAAAACTCAACAATAATTAAAAACCTTATACTTTTTAAAAATAATTCAAAAGCAACAAAATTTTCAAAACATTAGCACTTACCAGTGAATTATTTTCAGCCACATTTTTTTCATCAAGACTGTAATAATCTCTAGTTCAAATTTTAATAACTTTTTAGTATTATTATAATATATAATATTAATATAATAAATAAATAGTATTATTATAAAATTGTCATTTATTAGACTAGATTAGTTTTTTTTTAATTTATTAGACTGTTTAGCAAAAAATAAAAGTAAAAAATAAAAGAAAGAAAAGCATACATAAGATCAGGTCTATAATAATGGATAATGGCACAAAAAGCAAGCCCATTTCTCCATGATGTTGTCATATTACTAACTGGGGCATTTTCGTAATGTTGAGTAATATTCTTACACCAAACTAAAAGTCCTTTAACACCTGTTGCCATTTTATCATGTCACTCCAGATATCACTGTCACTATGTTACTCCAGAGTTAAATATCATTTTTTATTCTATATATAAAAATAAATATGAAATTTAATGTATTCTTCAAAAAAATGATCTTAAACTACAGAGCAGTAATAAGTAAGTAAAAAATTCAAAAAAACAAATGCTATCCAACTTCTTTCTTGTACTGGTTTCAACTGTGTAGTCTTGACAACTGTGTAGTCTTGAGAAAGAATTCTTAATAACATATCTTGATGACTTGATGCTTCATGGATACTCCAAAACAGATGAAATTCCCAGTAAAAGAAGTTAGATAAATATTTTCTAATTTATATATATATATATATATATATATATATATATATATATATATATATATATATATATATATATATATTTGTTAAAATGTTATATATAATAACACTAAATCAATAAAAAAAAAATATACATAATCATGTTAGCTATAGTTGTAGAGTATACATACATAGACTGATTTTTGTAGGACTAAACCCAGTAAATGTGCACATATAAAAAAATTATAGAAAATAATTTAAGCAACTAAATTATTTTCTATAATTTTTCAACATAATTTTTTTATATGTGCACATTTACTAAACCCAGTAAATGTGCACATATAAAAAAATTATAGAAAATAATTTAAGCAATGGAACTTTTTAAATATATAATAAGGCTATTCTATAGAAAAAATTTGGGCTGCAGACCCCCTCCCTCCCAGAAAAATTTAGCGAAATTATTGTCGAAAACCTGTGCATTCTTGCAAAAAAAAAAAAAAAAAAACAATATTTGCCACAAAAAACGTATTTAAATATATTAAAAAAAAAGGTTCAAAATTTTTGTATTTGGGCGATGCTCGAATATGGTTGACGCTGTCGAAAACAGTCTAGAATAGCCCCTGTATAATTTAATTATATAGTATAATATATTTATATAGTATAACATATTTATTTAAATTATTATATTTAAAGTTGTATTATTTTTTTGTAATTATAAACGTGGATGAAACTATAGAAAAAAGTGCTGGTAAAGAAACAAAATTTATTTTGCATAAAAATTTTTCATATATATATTTTAAAAATTTATAATACAGATTTTTATATATGAATAACTAACTAATATATTTTTAAAAAATTGGTAAAACTATTTGCTTTTTAAATTACTAAACATAAACAAAACAAAAAAATTAGTTAAACACTTAATTTAAATTTAAAATTTAAAAATCTGTAAATATATGAAATATGCAAAGTCTAAATTTAAAAAGACAATTTTATAAAGAAATAAAAACTATAAATAAAAACTGAGGTTCATAATTCAGTCTTCTGATCATTGGTCTTCTGATCTGTTACATCTTTGATCTTCTTCACAACTTTATCAACGGATAATGGATCATTTATATCAATATTGATTTGTTCAAAAGAACCTTGAAAAAAAAAAATTGTTTAATTATAACAGTAACAAAAATAGAAGCAAAAAAAATTAAACAATAACAACTTGTTATATTATAATAATGTTATTATTATTATAACTTTATAACTTAACTTAATGTAAAGTTATAATAAATAAACATATAAATGTTAATACTTAATATTTATAGGTTTATAACATTTAAAGAAGGGAGGAGGGTAGTGGGAGCGAGGAGGAATACAAGTACTTTTTTGTAACCAACTGAACATTTGATGACACTTGTCTTTATAATGATGCCCTATTTCAAATATATATGATGCCAGTACAATATAATGAATATTCAGTATTTATGGTATACTAGCTGAGATCGGACCCGTAAAAATACGGGTCTTTGTAAGTCTATTCTAAACCGAACTTTATTATACTTTTTCCTTATATATCCTAGCTTTATGGATCCATAAAATGCGGGTCTTTACCAAATCTACTATTTCTATACATACCTATTCCACGCCAATTATTTCTATACCTATTCCTTATTTACTTCAATACTTTTTAGTAAAATACTTTTGTTCTGAAAAAAAACTTTAAGAGCAAAAAAATTAACACGTACACCTTTTCCACACACCTAGAGCTTATAAGAGACTTAGGTTTGTTTTTTTGCTAAATGCATTTCATTGATAGCTCAGTGGTAAAGTGCGCTGTCGTCAGTGTTGTTTTGGGGGGTTTAAGACCTCTTTGCATAATAAATTTTGAAATTTTTCTAATCTTGCATATTTATATTTATAGCAAAAAAATAATAATATAGCAAATAAGATTTCTAAAATTTAAAATAAAATTTTAAAGTTTTCTCATTTTATAGATATATGATACGCGATTATTCCATATAATGTCTGCAAACTCAACATATGCCAAAGACGTTTACACTTACAGACATTTGTACGTAACGCTATACAAATGAACTAAGAAGATCTTAGACCACTAAAACAATCATAAAAATAAAGTTCATTCTTTTGATTATGATTACAAACTAAATAATAATATTAAACACTTATCTAAAAGTTAAGTGAAAAAAATTTTGTGCATTGACGTCAGTTTGTGACAAAGTAAACCTTTATGCATCAAGTTTCTTTTGCATTTATCTTACATTTTTTGATTCATTTTAATTTTGTTGCATACAAATGCATAAAAATATATAAAACTAGTACAGATATATCATTTCACTGATAAGAGATTGTATTTATTACAATAGTAATTAACAAATAGTTTTTGTCTTTATTAGAATGTATACCATAAAAATATATTCTAAATATCTTTAATAGAAGAAGTTTTTTAAAAAATTTAAAGAAAACTGTATTTCTAGTTTGTTTTTCTAGTTTTTTGCCACAAAGTGACATCACATATGCAAAAAAATTGTAGCTTCAACGATTTACAAAAAAGCCTAGCCTATCATTTTTAATAGTCTAAGAATCAGATGACGTAATTTTAGCTATCAGAAATTATCAAAAGAGGGGCAAATCTAAAATTGAAATTTTCCACTTGGATGAGACAATATGTTTTGTTAGGGTTCCCATTCTCCCTTTTTTTCCATAGGAGAACATTGTAAAAATTTAAATTTTCATTAGTTTAGCACCGCGCTCCCCTACGGAAAAAAAAGGAGAATAGGAACTCTATATTTTGGGTTTTTTCAATCTTGTCAATTTTTTAAATTATAATAACATACAAAAAATCCAAACAGAACAGCTTGAGCAAAAAATAATTCAAAATAATTATTAGAAAAGTTTACTTAAATTACATGCGATCCTGAATAAAACATTAAGTGGATATATATATATATATATATATATATATATATATATATATATATATATATATATATATATATATATATATATATATATATATATATAATTAAATAAAAACACTAAGGGATGGTTAAGCGCAACAAAGTTTAAAAAAAAATAGTTTATATTAAAATTAAAAATGATTTATATAGTTTCTTTGCAAACAATAATACACTATACTTAAAATTTTTAAGTGCACTGAACTGCAATTACTTTTAATTTTTTTGGTTTAGTGGCTTTTGTTAAGAGCTTTTAAACTTTGTGTCAAATTGTCTCATTTCAACACATTTGTTGTATCATCCATACTGCAGCCGTTTTCCAAAACACCTGAAGGTAAAAAAAATCAAATTTGACTTTTTTTAAAACAAGCTAGTTTAGCTCTTACTTGTTCAGAAGTTCAACGCCTTATCTACTCTGCCACACTGGCACATTCTCAAGCAAATATTTTTAAAACAACATAACGATTTTTTTACCGGAAAAAATGTTATGGATCAAAATTAAGGAGAGCTTAACGCAATGCAATTTTCAAGTGAAAATTAAACTGTAAGTATGTTTTAACATTACTTAACTTAAAGTTTATGTACATTAGATATTTGGATATATGTTCGTTCATGTTTTCTTATAAAACAAAGCTGCTGCAACTCTTTCTCGCCATTACCTTGGTTGCAATGGCTGCCAAGGGTACCATGTCAAACAGGCTCAAAAGCGCACTACTATTAAGTTCAGTATTATTAAATAGATTTCAGAATTTTAGGCATATATTGTTTAAGATTTCTGTGTCTGGAGTATCCTAAACTTAACTTTTAAAAAAAAAAAAATTTAACAAAATCAGGACTTTAATAATCAAACAAGATAAAATTTAACAAAATCAGGACTTTATTAATCAAACAAGATAAAATTTAACAAAATCAGGACTTTATTAATCAAACAAGAAAAAACAAGTTACATATTTAAAAAAGTTAGCAACAGAGGTTAAGAGGTTAAGTGTTAAGGTAAAACAATCTTTACTTTAATCCATATTTATCAATTTCAAATTAAAAAACTTTCTTTCAATAATTCAATAAAAAGTCTTACTCTAAATAAAGTTCCCAATAGAGAATTAATATACACTTTTTCATTTTCTTTATTTAATATAAAAAAAACATTGAGCATAATTATCTTATTTTAACCTTTCTTTTTGTTTACACAATTATTTCTAAGTTATTATTTTGGTTGACAATATTCAAAAAACCTGTAACCTGTCACAATTTTAAATATAACTTATATTTTAATCAAATTTACCTATCAAGTAATCCTCTGGTCTGGTAAAAATGAAATTAAAATAACTATCAGACAGTAAAGTTGATTTTTTAGAAAGAGTATGCTAACTATAACTATGACACACTTTTCAAGACATCAGTTTATTATTAATTAGGACAGCTTTTAACTTATTAGAGATAAAGTGTGACTAGATTATTAGAGATAAAGTGTGACTAGATTATTTAAGATAAAGTGTGACTAGACCATTTAAGATAACATGTGACTAGATTATTAGAGATAAAGTGTGACTAGATTATTAGAGATAAAGTGTGACTAGATTATTAGAGATAAAGTGTGACTAGATTATTTAAAATAAAGTGTGACTAGATTATTTAAGATAAAGTGTGACTAGATTATTTAAGATTAAGTGTGACCAGAGATTATTTCAAATCTGATAATCTTAGTTAACTCAATAACATATTATAACATAATTATAAGAACAAATTAGAAAATGACACAAAGTCATAGAAACAAGAGTCAAAGAAAAAAGGACATTCATATATTCCATATAATACATATTATAACATAATTATAATAACAAACTAGAAAATGAAACAAAGTCATAGAAACAAGAGTCAAAGGAAAAAGGACAATCTCTAAGTAAGGGTTGCAAAAAAAAAGAAGTCTAATAATTTATCAGTCTATCATTACCTCAGTCTAATTTACTATATGTTTTATATGCTATAAATTTTTAGTGAAATCCTGTCTCTTAACTGGATTAAACTTTTTCATTATTAGAACTATAAATTTTATACTTTGTTTAGTTTAAAGTAATGTTTTTGCTTTTAATTTTTCTTAAAAAAAAAAAAAATACCAGTGTTTTTCTTTTCTTCTTTTTTTTTCTTTGCTTTTTCTGTTTTAGTCTTTTTTTCATTCTTTTTTTTATCTAAAGTTAATAATCACAAAATTAAAAATTAAAAAAAACCCTTATAACAACATTTGAAGTAAAAGTAGAAACTGTATGTTATAAACTGTATGTTATAACCTACATGATACAGCTATATATAGTACGATCTTTTAAAGGTCAGCATCAGGTCGGCAAAAAAAATTTGATACAAAGGTTTTGCCATAAAACATAGAAACAAGGTTGGCATTTGTTTGCCGATCTCAAACACTTTATGGTTGGCAGTTAGGTCGGCATTGCCGAATGCCGAACCTAATTCGAAGGTTTGTTTATGATTTATCATATAGAATCTATTGTTTATGATACAAATGAAAGAAGCTGCTATTTGATCAATTGAACAAAATAAAATAATTTAAAATAATATTTAAAATTAAATTTGAAACAACTCAATATAAATTATTATAACATAAATTATTCAAAATTAATGTTATAATAATTAACTTAAACTTTGCTAACAGGGGTTTGTATTTTAAATTTTTAATACCAAAAAAGTCAAAAAGTAAATTAACCACAAATTCCAGTATCTGGCAATATTTATAAGCAATATTTGCTTTAAAAACTTATGTCTTCATGCTTACATTTGCATATTTGTGAGCACAAACTTATTTTTGTTTTTTTAAATAAAAGCTAAATTCTTTTAAATTATTTACATATATTTAATATTCAAAATATAAAAATTTATTAAAAATAATTTTTTTTTTAAGTAATGTGTTTTTTCCTTAAAAATGCATTTTAAAGGAAAAAAAGCAGAAGAGTAGTGAAAATGTGTATAAAACAGAACAAAAACAATTCTGAACAGAAACTGATCATAAAAACTGAATCATCCCATAATGTATATTCTGAACATCTCCTAACTATTTGAATTTTAAAAGAATTTTTCTACAATGAACGGATCTTAGAAGATGATCAATATTTGAGAACAATTGTTTAAGTTTTGACTCATCAATCAGAATATTCAACTAATTAACAACTTTGAATAAATAATGAATCTGTTTTGCAGCAAAAAATTTGATTTTAATAAAAGGACTTTTTAGTTTTATACAGGTTTTTCAAAAAAACATTTAAAGAAACTTATCAGTTAGTACTGGCTTCAAAAAATGACATACAGGAGTGTATAATCAGTGAAGATTTAAAGAAACAGCAGTGAATTGAATTTGAAGAAAAACAATTGGTTGAACAACTTGATGCGTCATCAAGGGCAATAGCAAAACAATGGAAATGAACTTTGGACTGAATATTGAGTAAAAATTGGTTTATAATACATCAATTTTTTGAACAACCATTTAGATTTGGGAAAAAAAGTTAAAGAGAAAACAAAAAGAAAGTTAAAAACTGTAGAGTTTAATGAGTTTCTAAAAACTTTATAACTGATAGAGCTATTCCAAAATTTAAAAAAAAATTGTTTCTGTGGGTTTTTCCACTGAATATTCAAAATGTTAATCTTGAACATTGTTTAAGTAGGTATTGATTCTGCACCTGCCTCAAATTTAGTTACTAAATGTAACTTTTTTATGTTTTGAAATTAATCTTTTTTATAAATAAAAAAAAAAAGTTAAAGTTTAAAATAATTAATGAATTTTATGAAATTTACTAAATTAACTTTAATTAAGAAACTTGATAACCCTCTAGTTAAATAAAATAAAATAAAAAACTGCAGAGAAAAAGTAAGCATAAAAACCTGATTTAACCAATGTTTGTGGCTTATTAGGATCAACTTCAAAACTAGCAGATCCATCTCCTGTGAGATCAATATCAGCAAGTTGTGATCGCTTCTGTTTTTCATTTATGTTTACACCTTCGCAAGCACCAGAAACTTTGTAACAAATTTCTTTTTCTATACTTTCTCCATTACTGTTTGATAAGGCCTTTTCAATATCTTCTTCATGATTTTCTAAAAAAGAGTTTTAACACATAAGTTTACATTGTGTAAAACTTTTAAATAAAAAAATAGTGGTCAGCAACAAAAAAATAGTGGTCAACAACAATTTATTTTGGCTCTTCAATAAACTTTGAACATGCATACTTATAATAAATAAAGACTAGCATTTGTTATAAAAAATTCCAGGTAAATAATAACCAATCAAATCAATCTAGAATCCAAAAATCCTTATAGAATTTAACAAAAGGTTATCTCCTAGTTTGAAAAAAGTTTTTAATTTTCTTAAATTTGTTATATCTAATTGATGTAATTTCTAAATTAAATTGGTTATCTAATTGATGTAATTTATTTGGATTTTACAGTTCCTCATTGCAGGTTTAGCCCAAAACTGAAAGGTAATGTCATCACTGTTAAGCTGCTAAAGTGGTTTGAGGTTTTTCTTAAAAGTAGAAAACAAAATGTTTTTTAATGTGAAGTAGCTTCTGAGTGAAAAGAATAAGCAATCTGTTACAAGAAGCGTCATTAAAAGGAAATGAATCTGTAATCATTAATAATAAAAACTTTGACTGCAACTCTAAAGTTTATGCAGATAATATGAAGTTTTTTTTTAATGTTAGTAATTGGTCAAAACAGTGGCTTGTTAAACCTAATGCTGATAAGTGCGGAGGTATATATATATATATATTTTTTTTAACATCTTCGCTTCCAACAAGGCTGCAAGCAACCACTAATTATTGTTGGAAGTTACTGAAAGAGAAAAGATGAAGATTGTAGAGCAAGATAACGATTGACAGACGACTTAAAAGATTGCAAATTATATGAATCAGGAAAGCAAGATGAAGGAAGCGAATTCCAAAGAACTGATGTTCGAGGAAAAAAACTAGACAAGTAAGAGTTTTTGGACCACTTAGGAACAGTAACAGAAAAAGGATGAGACTTAATTGAATGACAAGTAACACGAGAACGAATTTTTGTAGATGGCACAAGAGACGCTAGCTCTTTAGAGCAGTGCCCATTATAGTATTTGTAGAAAAGAGAAAGAGAAGCAACATTACGACGATGTGACAGAGGTTGAAGGTTGGCCTCAAGAGTAGGTCCAACTATGTTTACAATGCGTTTTTGCACCTTGTCTAAAAGAGAATTAGGCAATAAAATATTAAGGTATAAATATAATTAGGTAATAAAATATTAAGCATGAACACCTTATGGATGATAAGATGTTACTACTTTATTTATTCATGGGTAGAAAAGAATTTATGTGTATCAATAATCTTTGTCTATATGATCAATAATCTTTTTCTAAATGTCTGCAGACAAAAACAATTTTTTTATTTAATTATGCTAGCACCAGTAACTTTCATTCAAGAAATTTTTTATAGCTCTTTCAAATTCATTTAAGTTTTAGAAATGGAGAATGGAATCAAGAGTAAAAAAAATACCAAACACCACAAAAAAAACTTTTGCAAAAACTTTGCAATGGATTGGATACAGTTCCTATGAGAGATCATTGGTTAAAGATAATCAAAGAAGATGTAAAGTAGAAAAGTTAGTATAAGTGTTCCTATTTATAAATATAGAAATGTCAACAATATTGTGATTATTAGCAGTAAACTAATGAGTTTTGCTCGTGTTTAAATTCAGGTCATTACAGGTCACAAAAATTTTCTTCAAACTAAATAATACATTAATAAATAATTAAAATGAGACTGATATTTGATATCTGATTTATTTAATTTTGTTTTTTGTTTTTATTTATTTTGAATTACTTTACTTTTATTTTCAAATAATCATATTTCATAAACATACCAAAAAGAAGTTCACATGCTTTGACTGTTTTAGGTGGTGAATACTCATATGCACGGAAGTTTTGAGGTAAACAGGTATTTTCAATGGCTTCCATTATCTTGACATCTCGATTACCAGCTGTTAAATGACGACGTCCCAATAAATTTTCTAATTCTAAAATAGAATATTGTTTACTTGATTTTGTTTAAAATATTTTTGAAACATTTTCAAATAATAATTTCAAAGAATAAATAATCAATTTAACTATTATTTTGAAAACTGTTAAAATTTTACTGAAAATTTATAGAATTGTATGACAAACCAGCAAAGTATTATACTTTTAAGTAAATATATACATTATTACTATTAAATCTATAGATTGCTATACTATATTGCTAACTAGATTGCACAATTTAACTAAAAAACGATTGAAATTTGATTTACGGAAATTTATTTTAAACTTATAACTCAAGACCGTTGCACACAATAAACTTAAAACAATTAACATTTTTCTTTTCCACAAAGCTCAAGGAAATCAAAAAATTAAAGATTCCTGCATAGTATGTAGGACCATCACAACTATGATTAAAACCTAATCTCAAAGATTCGCTACCTCTTCCCACTAAACTTAGTCCAGTTATAAACATTAGATCCTGAGTTGAGACTTTAGATTTAGAAGAATCTAAGAGGGTTAACTGAAGATTTAAAGCATTAAAAACTTGAGAACATTTCAAATGTTTTTAAAACATTGCTCAATTATCAGTCTTGATATTTGTTGGATTACAGATTTCAGTGTGTAAAGGACATGTATTTGTAGTAGTAATAGCATAAGTGCATGTAAGAAGTTGCATTTCAGATAGTATAGAGTTGAGTAAAGTATGCAGAGATGAAGCACCAAATATCCATTGCATTACCTGTCTTAATTAATGATTTAATTGTCCAATTTAATTGATCTATAAAATTACCTAGATTTGTGCCAAAACCTTTTCAGAAAATTAGGTGATTTAGTGGAAAGGAAAAAAGAATAGGCACTTAAGATGCAGCAATAATAAGAGATTACAGCAGGTGCTTGATTACACAATAATAACAAAGTTTATAAGTAATCTTATTACTCAAGTTAATCACTTTTGACAAGCATAACAAATTTATTAGTTTTCTATTTTTTTTTTAATTATTTAAATTTTAAAATAAATAAAGTTGTTTAAAGTTTAAAAATATATATACTTTTAACTTTATGAATTAAAAACTTGCATTAGGAATAAAATTGATGTTTTTTATGTATGTACTTTATTTATAAATAATTTTCTTGAATGATTTAGTAAAAAAATTTTAATCAATTTTAAAGAATTTTCAATTTATTAAAAACGTTAAAATAAACCATGTCACTTGATATATGAATAAAATCAAAATAGTGGTAGGTTGCCTTTTTTGTAGGCAAAAAACACCATGCTCCACCCCCATGTTCCCTGATTACACAACACTCTGTGCAGGAATCAAAAAATTTTGGATTTAATGATTGAGACAAATTTTGAGAGGACAACAATTTAAAAATATAAACAATTGTTATTTTATAATGAATGTTACACTAAATTAAAATTCTTTAAATAAGCTATTCTTGTTCTAACCTTGGATGATAAAGGTAATCTTAACTTTTGTTGAACTGTGACTTTCTTTTTCATCCAGCCAGTATCCAGAAGTTTTAGAAATTCAGACATGTTCTGATTATATTAGTGTTTTTGCTACTCACTGGTCTCTGTCTTGCTACTCATCAGCTAATTACTGGTCTTTGTCTTGCTACTCATCAGTCTCTGTCTTGCTACATACTGGTCTCTGTCTTGCTACTTACTGTTTTTGTCTTGCTATTCATTGGTCTCTGTTTTGAGGCAGATAAACACAGTAGGGGAAATTTTTTTGATTTAAAAAATTAATAAAAGCTCAGTTAATTGGTTAAAAGTAATTTCCAACTTTTAATTTTTTTAATTTTTTGTATTTATTTATTTATACGTTGTATTTGTTTATTTATATGTTGTATTTATTTATATGTTGTATTTGTATTAACAATGTATTTAACTATTCATTACTAGTGACTGGTATTTTAAAACCAACCAACTGTTATTTAAAAATTAAAATCAACTGGTATTTAGGATTTAGAACAAATACAAACTTTTCTTTGCAAAAAAAAAAATGCATTAACTTAATTTCTTTTACTTTGAAGTTACTATTATTTTAATACCTTCTGTTACAAAAAGAAAACTTATTTTTATTTATGCAACATAATGATTACAAGACACAAAAGAATTGTTAAATAGAAGATAACATTTATTCCACATTTAAGTTTTTTTGGTTTATTAAATTTTATAAAATATTTAAAAGTTCTTTAAAATCAGCTTACACTCCAGAAGATAATGTTGTTGATTGTTGATTAACTTATTGGACAGGTTTGATAGTCAAATAAAACCTTTGCTATATTTATATCAACAGATCAGTTAAATTTTTTGTATTTATGTAGAGTAAAAGCAGAATTACTATGAGTTTACAATTTTTGTCTTTTCTATGAGAAAAACAATAAAGCTTTCACTATCTAAAGCCAGGTTTGATGAAAAAATTGCAGCAATTTTTCTATTTCTGATTTCCTAATATATTTTACTTCAAATCATAATTGTTTAAACTAAATTTTTAATTACTTTACAATTCACCATACTATTACTTTATAGTTCAATTACCTTACATTCATACTATTACTTTATAGTTATTATCATTTTAACAAACCTTTAATGGTAGCAATACAACCAAGACAGTAAAGATCTAAAATAAAAATAATAACTAGCATTTTTATTTGCATCAAAACCAATTTTTTTAATTTCATATATATATATATATATATATATATATATATATATATATATATATATATATATATATATATATATAAAGATAATATATATATATATAAAGATAATATATATATATATATATATATATATATATATATATATATATTATCTTTTTATCATTTTTTAACTTAAGCGATTTTATGTTAACATTAATCGATTTTGGATAAGCGACTTTTTATCATATTTTAACTTTTCAATTATTCTATAAGTGGTAAGATAAAAAAAGTAATTAACTTTTAATAGAATCACATTAACTATGTAAAAATATTTGTTACAAAAGTTTGAATGACAACTATGTTAGATATAAAAACTATTTACTAATATATTTAAATTTAAATATGTTTGTATATAGTGTGATTATGTGAAAATATGCATTGAAAAGTTTACAAATAAAAGTTAAATATACTTATATGCTAAATTAGTGCTAAAATATACTTATATGCTAAATTAATTAATATACTTATATGCTAAATTAGTGCTAAAATATTATTAGTTCTTGAAATTTAACTTTATGATTGACTGACATTTTTTTTTTCGAAAATATAAAACTGACAAGAATATAAAAAAAAAGGTTTAATTTTATTAGAATAAAATTATTTAATGCAAATTGAAAAACATTAAATTTCAATAACTTATTTTCTCACAGTTTACAACAGCACTAAGTTCAAGTATGGGTCATGTCGTTAAATTTATTGTCCATTGGCTGACAATAGTTAATGAATCATACACAGAACAAATAAAGCAAGTGAATAAGGAAGTATTTTAAAAAATAACCCATATTTTTAGAGAAACTGGATCTTTTTAGGAAGCTTTTTAGATATTAGCATGTTTTAGGATTTTTTTTATCCTAAAACATCCTATTATTTAAATATGGATCCTTTTTAGGAAACGCATTTCCTGTTGAAAGCATATTGCAATCAAATCTTTTCATTGGAAAAATTTTATTGTTTATTCTTCTGTTTATATGACTACAAAGAATTCTTTAAAAACTTGATTGTGTACTTGATTGTACCAAAAGTAGTGCACTGGCCGATGCTGATGTCGATTGTACTTTTGGCCGATGCTGATGTCGATGCCGATGGGTACAGGCCGATGCCAATGCATCGGCCCTGAAATTGGATATATAATGGAAATATACACCTGAATAAAAATGCCACATTCCATTCATGTGATGAAAGCAACATTTTGAAATTGTTATTGTTGAAGTTTATTTTCCCTTTTTTTTTTTTTTTTTATGTTATCTTGACAATTAGTGCAATTATTTCAATTAAAAAGCTTGTTTTATAAATATTTACTTTTGTCATTTTGTTCGAATTAGAACAATTTCGTTTTTTATAAAGAATGAATGGAAGATTTTGATAACATTACTTCTAATAATTGGCAAGTTTTTAGCAAATGTTTTTACAAAGTTAAAATATAAAACAATACTTGAATTAAATGTTTATTTATTCAACGTTTTTAATTTAATAATAAACTTTTCTATCATTTAATTTTAAAATAAATGTAATGAAATATTTCGATTGTAAAGAATAACTAAAAAAGTTTCAAAAAAACATTATTTAAAGCAATTTTCTCTTCCAATTCCCATTTATTCAAAGTATTGTTTCAATTAAACTTTTATTTCTTTTATCTAAAAAAGGAAAAAACAACGCAGAAAAAAAAAAAAAAAATTCTCTACTACGTTATTCATTCAATTCAAATTAATTCAAGTTTAACTATGTGAAACTTTTCTTTCCCTTTTGTTCTACTCTTTTATAAAATTAGCGCACGATGAAATAAAAACTTTTCTTTCTTGAGTAGAATTAAACTTAGAGATAGAACTAAATTAGAAATAAAGAAACAATGAGTAAGGCTACAAAAAGTCCAATCTGGGACTACTTTGACATTGATGAAAATAATTGCTCAAAAGCAATTTGTAAATTTTGCAAAATAAGAATATCAAGAGGATACCTCATCCACTAAAGATAATGATAATAGCAAAGTATCCGTTAGCAATAGTGTTACAGTTATTCTAGATCAAAAACATCAATCTAAGCTTGAGGAGACTATTAATAAGCATAGGAAATAGACTTCAAGTGAACAAAGAGCTCAAAAAATAACTTATCAGAGAAATGATATGTGTAAACATTCAGCCGTATTCTTTAGTTACAGATCAAGGATTTAAAAAACTAATTATGCATCTTGAACCAAGGTATACCATGCCCTCTAGAACACATGACTGAAACAGTTGTTCCTTTAATTTATGAAAAAATGAAAATACAAATTATGAATGATGTAGCCAAAGCAGATTTTTTGAGTTTTACCACTGACGGATGGGCTACACATCACAATGATCTAAGCTTTTATTCATTAACAGCACACTGGACAAACTCAGAGTTTAATTCTATGACAGCTGTGCTACAACTTAAAAAATAACAGGCTCTCATACAGGTGTAAAGATATCAAAATTTCTAAAAGACTTTAAATGAATGGAAAATACCAACTAACAAAGTGTACTTTATCCTCTCTGACAATGCTGCTAATATGAAATTAGCCATAAAAGTAGTTGGTTTAGAAAAAAATTCCCTAAGTTGTGTAATCCACACTCTTTATCTTTGTATAACCAATAAGCTTTTCAAGCAGCAATTGTAAATGATCTTATAGCTAAGTCTAGAAAAATTGTCACACACTTTCATCATTCTTTGTCTTCCATGGATATGCTACATGAAATTCAACAGCTAAAGTTACCCCAACATTCACTTATTCAAGATGTAGTAACAAGAAGGAACTAAACATTTTACATGTTAGAAAAACTAGTTGAACAAAAAACCTCACCAACATTATTTTTTATTAGAAATCAAAAGTGTAATACCTCTAATCTTAATGAAGACCAATGGTTATTAGCTGAGACGCTTATCTTAGTTTTAAAGCATTTTGAGGCGGCTACACTAGAGATGAGTGAAAATAGGGCATCAGTGTCTCAAATTATTCCATTTATAGTTTCAATGGAAGCGTATCTAGCCTATACTTCAGAAAATGCAGGTGAAATAAAAACTATAATAGAAGAGTTGAAAAAAGATTTTATCTCAAGGTTTCCAGCTATAAATATAACAAAAACTTAAACATGTCTACAGTTTTAGATCCAAGATTCAAACTTAGTTATGCCATATCAGATGAGGAGAAAGACACAATAAAATCAAATATTCAAGAGAAATACATAAACCTAAATAAAACTGATATTACAGATTGCCTTTTAACTACTCAATCAGATAATTAAACAAACACTTCATCTGAATCAACCCAAGAACCTAGCTCTCCACTCAAAAAATTAAAAATGGCAGAAAACATACAATTTTTATCAAGTTTCGAAAGCACCTCTTGACACTGAATTAACAAAATCAACAAAAGTAAAGAACTGTAAAAAAATTTCAACAGAGGCACAAATATATGTAAAGAAAAAGGAAAAAATGTAAATTAAAATGATTTTTTTAAATAAGAACTTTGATAACTTTTTGTTCTTGTCTAATTTATAATAGATTATTATTGATAAAACTAAATTCTAAATTATTATAAACTATTATATAAATTATAGTTATAGAAATAAAATAATATTACTAATATTCATTAATATTTAACAACTTTTAATAATAAAAATTAGTACTTTACATTATAGTTTAGTTTTTATGTTTTTTTATTTACTTTTCTTTTAGAACTGATGAAATGAACTTTTACTTATCACTCCCTAATCTGCATCAAAAAGAATGTCCATATAAATGGTGGGAAAAAATACACGAATATAGAAACACTCTAGTAGCAATAATATTTTAGACCTCTCATACCTTGCCAAAAAATATTTAGGAGCTCCGCCTTTTTCTGTGTTCAGCGAAGGATTGTTTAGTACTGGGGGAAATATTTCTGAATCGACACGGTCC